CTGTATGTAGGAGCATGGGATCTTTCTCCATCCATCTCTTCCTGCAGCGAGTGGGACATGGCAAGCTAAGCCAGCCACTGCCAAGTGTTTTATCGCTGTGGAGGTTCTGTATTCCACACCATGGCAACACCATTTGTTGGGCTGTTGCTGTTCAAGTTAGCAAGATGTAGAACCGCTGTGATCTTTTATTACCCAAAGGTGAAACACGAAGGGTGGCTTAACCCGTTTTCCTCATTGTCATAATGTATATATTCAAAGCGTGTGTCAGAACAGCAAGCTATCTTGGAGAACGTTATAACTGTATTTACAGGGATGTGGGATACTTTGCAAAAGGAGGGAAACATGAAACAAATTAGAGGACTTTTAAGTTGAGTGGGGCACTTCTGTTTGAAACAATGTGAAATTTGAATTAGTGTTAGTCCCTCAGACTCTTTTACAAGATGATGTCTGTCTAAATGGTCCAGCTTCTCCATTGCCGTTGGCATAGTTTCATACTAGTGCAGCTGCCTGGTTTGATAAATGGCACCATATCCAGCCTGCAAGTGTCTGTACCTGAAAATGTGGACTTGCTGCTTCTCACCTGAACCTTTCACCACTTTAAGAGTCAGCTGGGGGACAAGACTCTATATTCCATGTGTATATAGGCTGTAACATATTTCTGTTTTTAAAATAACTACACTTTGCAGCATGAGTCAATCTAGTTGGGGCTATAGGCAGGAGGAGGTTGTGACCAGGCTTCCCTCGGTGTGACAGCACCGCTGCACGAGGCCAGGGAAGCTGCAGCGCCCTCCGTACCTTGGCTGGGTGATGCTGCACACCTGGCCCAGCCTGGACACATCTAATGCAGTTCCCATGCTGGAAATCATCAAACCTGATGGTAATAAGCTTTAGTAATTCCTAAAGGAGCAGAGAAACAAGTTGAAGGTGTAAATGAAACACTGTTTTGTGAATGTGGAGCATGTTTTGTGACAAATACTTTTGTCTAGTCCAATAATTGTAACGTATAATAAACTGATAGAGCAGAAGGAGAGGATCTTTGTTCATGCACAGTTGCAGAAAAAGAGTATGTAAATCTGTTGAAATTGCCACCACTTTGGATTTTCTTCAATAGGTAATCATTTGCTTCTTGGCTATTGCACTACTTGCCATTTCACATTGTGTTATTTCAGTTGAGTTGAGAAAAAAAGATAGAGGGTTTCATTATCTCTAGGGACTGATTTTCTTGGACTGAGTAGTTTAAATAGTTGGACAGTGATTTCCAAAGTATTGTGCTAGAAAATGTTAACAAACCCTTGCAAAGCTGTGCCAGAGTATTTTTGTTTTCTTAAAAGCAAAAATTTAAATGTTTTCAAGATCTTGAAAGGTACTTCTGAGTTACTTAGATTTATTAAGTAATTTTACAAGAATTACAAATTCTGTCTGTCCTGGTTTCAGCTGGGATAGAGTTGTCTTCCTAGTAGCTGGTACAGTGCTATGTTTTGAGTTCAGTATGCGAAGAATGTTGATAACGCTGATGTTTTCAGTTGTTGCTAAGTAGTGTTTAGTCTAAAGTCAAGGATTTTTCAGCTTCTCATGCCCAGGCAGCAAGAAGGCTGGAGGGGCACAAGAAGTTGGCACAGGACACAGCCAGGGCAGCTGACCCAAACTGGCCAACAGGGTATTCCATACCATGGGATGCCACATCTAGTATATAATATAAACTGGGGGGAGTGGGTGTGGGGGGCATCGCCACTCAGGGACTAACTGGGTGTTGGTCAGCGGGTGGTGAGCAATTGCCCTGCGCATCATTTGTACCTTCCAATCCTTTTATTATTGCTGTTGTCATTTTATTAGTGTTATCATTATTAGTTTCTTCTTTTCTGTTCTATTAAACTGTTCTTATCTCAACCCAGGAGTTTTACTTCTTTTCCTGATTTTCTCCCCCATCCCACTGGGTGGGGGGGGAGTGAGTGATCGGCTGTGCGGTGCTTAGTTGCTGACTGGGGTTAAACCACGACACTGTCCAAAAAAGCTGACATCCTTAGACAGAAACTTTGTTGGAGTAGACTTGATATAACAGATGGGTTGCATTGTTTTTGGATCAAGAGCTACAAAGCCTGGCATGGTGGGCTGCATCTCTGTGGCTGAACCCTGATGCATCTGGATTTGTCTGTAAGATCTGCTTCAAGGAGGAAAATTCTCCTTTTCTTTAAACATTGAATGTCATTGCTTTAAAAAATACTGACTCTTTAAAGAAGAGGGGGGAAAGTGTTTGGGGCTGCTTAATTTCTTCCAATACTTCATTTTCAGTATATAGTTAAGGATTAGTCTGAGGGTTCTTGAATGTGGAAGTGTTTCAAGGTTTGTTTTTTTAATGTACAGCAACTCTTGATAGAAAAACTTTATAATTTTGACATCCTCAAAAATTATCAATATTAAAATCTTTATGTATGTATCTGACTCAGTTAATTTGTGTGGCTTTGTAATTGTCTCTATTTGCTTTCTAAGATGCAGTACTTGCTTAAAAATTTCAAGGATACACATGTGCTTTTGTCATTTTCTTTACATTTCAGAAAATAAGCTAGGACTGCACAACTTTGTCACTGAAATTGCATTCCCTGCAGGAGCTGCAGTATTCGCTGTGGTTGTATAATATCACAGCTTGACCTTTTTCTGCCATATAGTTTTTTTCCTTGTCAGGAAGAAATTAAAAAGACCTGTCATCTTGTTACATTAATAGGCAGTTAGGGCTGCACAGGTTGGTATAAAAAATGGGCATACTAAAATAGGTAAACATAAGCAAATACATTTAGTAGCTATAATCTATGCAAGTGTTCTTTTAAATTTTTGAAATTAGATTGCTATGCCATAATAAACATGAACATCATTGCCTAGCACCCAGGCTTTGGTAGCTTGGCATTTGGATTTGTAGAATCTACATTTCCCTGGTTTGTTTTCTATAGAAATGAAATATGTTGTTTAGTTATGGATAAACTGTAAGCCTCTAGTTGAGAATATATCACCAGTGAGTGTAATAAGCAACCAGAAGGACTGCCAGGGTCAGAAGATGCCTGTTTGTATATATCAGGCAGATGTGCTTTTATGTGATTCTTTATTCTTTGCTTTTTTAACCATATAGAATCAGTACGCTATACATTGCTGCTGACAACTGGCAATTTCTGACTTCCCAGTAGCATTGGATTTTGAGAAGATTTAGACATGTGGCATTTGTGGCTCCTGAAGCCTTGTCTGGTGGAAGTAAACAGGAGTTTCAGAATAGGTGTCAGTGGGCCAAGACTTGACATTTATTGTTATTTTCCTACCCTTAAGAAGAAAAAGAGAAGTGTGTTGGGAGATCAGAGACTGGATGATTTTGGTGACTAGAACAGTGCTGTACGATATACGTTTTGACAGGCAGTTAGCAATTTAATTTAGAGAGCCTCAAGAAGTGTGGCTGCATTACCATTAGTGTTTTAATTCAGATGATGTCTGTCCTTCATGAGTCTTGGTCTCCCCAAGATTCGCACCCTTGCCAGGATCTCACAGTGTGCAGCTCTTTCAGACAAAATGAGCCTGGATGAGGCCTTGCAGTTGCTAATGGGCTGGCAGACCACGGAGCCAGGCTCAAAACCCATGTGTATGTAGATACCAGCTCCTCAGTACCAACAGTTTCACTCGTGGTGCAGCAGGAGAGGACCTCCAGAGTTGGTTGTGTAGGCATGGCCTCAAGTGGCTGTACTGGTGGGGAAGAGGAGCTGAGGAAGGGAGCTGGGACAATCTAAATACCAAATACCTTGTTTTATTCAATGGGCGTGGCCGTAACATCGAGCCATAGGTGCAGTCATTTATGGCTGGTAGTGTCTTAAATGGCTCAAGCACTTTTGCAACAAGTAGTCAGTTGAGCATATTGTCCATCATGGATTATTGATTTGAAATAGAAAGTATCTTATACTTAGAATGGAAAATGTGGACCACTGAAATTTCTGAGGATAACACATCTGGGCATTAAGACAACAAGGGGACATTTGACCACAAAAAAAGTGAGCTTTGACATTTTTTTTGGTTATTACTATGTGGTAGCCTGTAGGCTGCTAGGTATTTGAGGGCTTGCATATTCAGTATTTCAGTCAGCACAAATTAATAGAACAAGATGAGAAGTGCTTCTGCAGCATGAACAAGACTACTCGTGTTTTCTTGAAGGTCTATTTAGCTCTCCCTGAGAACATAGGCACAATATCTGTGTTCATTTGATCTCTGTGAAAAATGGTAGACGGCTTCCTTTTTCTTACCTTTTCATTTTGCTTAGTTGATTTATTTATGAGTTACTGTTCGTGTGGAACAGTTGATTCCTTTTAGAGAGAAGTAGAAAATTTTGTCAAATGTTCCTGTTGGGTGCAGATTCACATCCCTGCGACATGGTGCTAAAGCAGTTCACAGCAACCATATTCTAGTTAAGACAAAAGTAATGCAATAGAGAAGGTTTTGGGTACTTCGTGGCAGTGAAATAAAACTGCAAAACCTAAAACCAGGAGGTTGTGAGTGTCACTTGCAATATGTTGGATGCCATAGATTAGTTCTGTATGACCTTTAATGGGAGTGAAAACGTATTTGATTTTTGAGCTATCTTTCCCTAGGCAGTACACCGAGCACTAAAATCCTGCATGTTTTGGCAGAGAAAAGATAGAGCATAAACCAACAGCTGGATTTGAAAGCAGGATTCATTTAAATTAGAAATGCAAACCCCATTTCTAGCACAATATGATTGACCATTGAAAATATAACCAGCCAAGAGAATGGCAATTTGTCTCTTGATGTCCTCCAGTCAAAACTTTAGTCAAGCGCAAGTTATGCCTTGTTTATGCCTGATTTGCCAGGGTAATTGGGTGTCAGTCTGCAGCTGCATTATGCAGGAGGTCACACTTGATATTTGGTATGATCTATTTTGATTTAAAATCAGAAACTATAACATGGGCCAAATTGAAATCAGCAGTGTTCATATTTGTCTCTCCCTCTGCTTGCAGGTACTACAGTGCTACCATTTTGCAGATGTCAGGAGTTGAAGATGACAGGCTTGCAATCTGGCTGGCTGCACTGACAGCATTTATAAACTTCATTTTTACTCTTGTGGGAGTCTGGCTCGTTGAAAGAATGGGTCGCCGGAAACTTACACTTGGCAGCTTAACAGGTGAGTGTTTAATTAGCGTATTGTATTTTCCTCATAATTATTAATAAAATGAAAATAAAATTTCAAGTGCTAATATTTTCAAAGTAGTCCTCTTTAAAATAGCACTGTTCACCCCATCTTCTCCGTGAAATCATACAGCTTTTCAAGACTAGTAGTATAGTACCACAGCTAAAGGCTAATTTAAAAAAGAGAAGTTTAGCATGTTATTTTTTCAGGTGAAGTTTCTCCTTCAGGTCATGTTTGGCAATGTTTTTATTTAGGTTTTTTTTATGCTTTTTTTCAGTATAAGGAATCAAATGCTTGCAACTCCACAGCTGGTTAGTTTTTAAATCTCATGTGTGTATATGTGATATGTAATTTCTTGCTCATTAATTGGAATTCAGAATATCTTACCAAGAACCACTGGAGAAAGTGTATCATATAGCCATTGTGGCGCTTTTTAAAAAGTAACGCAGTTCTTTGCATAGTTATCTCACATACAATACAGTAAATACCTTACCTACACTAATGTGATTTTAATTCATCTCCTGTATAACATACTAAAAGACAGAATTCTGGATTTGTACCTTTTGTCCAAATTTTCAAATACTGTAACTCATCACGCAGCCACCTTTTGGAAGCAGGAAAAGGCAGAATGAGCAGTCTTGCCTATGCTCAGCTGTGTCTTGCCATTTACCCAGTAAGTCCCTGCTTGCTCCCACATTACGTGCTCATTCTGGTGAAGTGATCTGTGACCAATACCTGCCTCTGGCTGAACTTCTGAAAGCTTCAGACTGTTCCAAGAGCAAGGTTTGGAAAAGAGAAACAGTTCCTCCTCCTCTTGAAAAAGTGTTCACAAGTGTTTAGCTGGGAGGGTTTAACGTCTCTATATTTTGTTCTGTCATCGCTGTCAGGGATCCAAACTTCTAGTTAATGTAACACAGCAGAGTGGGGGACCACCTGCCAAGTCGCTGGCCATCTGCAGTTCCCAAGGGATGGAAGTTAATCTACACTCGCAGTATTTGAATGCATTTATATAGGCAGAATAGTGACGGCACAGTGCCATGTCTGGTTTGATACACAGTCACCTAAATCTGCAAATTAAAACATGCAGTTTGGAGGCAATTTGGTATTCCTAGTTATAATAAATGTGTATTTGGTGTGTTACCATTTTGATTTGGAGTCATGAAACCTGAAGTGTTTTTCATGATCCAAGTTCAGAAATGTGGTCATGACAAAGGAGATCGGAAAAGCACGTTCGTCACGTTGAAGAAAAATGTCAAATCGTTACTTTTATCAGAGTCTACCTCCAGATCAGTTAAAATACATCTCCCCTCTAAGTTCTTCTATGTCTCCAGCCAGTGCCAAGTCTTTCAGAGGGGAAAGGCCCAGTTCTGTACCACTCCCTATGCTCAATACCCTTTTTTCCCCGTTGTCTGTTTTCTTCTCTTTCTGCAAAGTGGATCTCTCCTGGCACTGCACTGGTACTTCTGTTTCTTGGGTGCTGCCTTTCCTTTATACTCTATTGGAATGGAGTATTTATTTATTTGGCCCCAATAACCTCATATGTTTGGCCAGTCCCTCAGTTGTTTATTGCTTATCTGGACCCAGCTGTGTAGGTGTGATTCCCATGTGGACTTTTCATACAATCACAGAACTCTTTGCTTTTTGGCTCCGGTTAACATATTCAAAGGTCATACATTTGAAATGTAGCTATAAATGTCTCTTATAAAGCATATTACTCATAGAACAGACGAGGATATAGAAATGAGACACAGAATTAACAAAGGAGCATAACACAGTTAAGGGTTATTTGTATATGATGTTCGGACACAAGGTAGTTGTTTGGTAAAAATGGTCTTTCTCCTGTGGTTGGTTGCTGGCTGTCAGTCTGCAGCGTCAGTTGGCCCATGCTGCATTGCTTGCTGTGTTGTTTATCATACGGTACCTCCTTAAGGAAGATGCAAATAATGATAGTAATGAAATCATATGTCATCTCTGTACTATTTAGAATTTTTTTTTGCAATGTTTGACACACTGATTTAGGTAGTGGTGGATGTGACATGTTTTCCTTAGTGAGAGGGCTGTTTAATAAAATTATAATTACTGAATCTGCTGATGGATTTGTTTTCCATGATGAGTTTTCTCATGGGGTAAACTTACATTTTACTGCTCTACTTTGGATTGTGTTTCTAAGGACATTGACTTTCACACTGAGTTATTACTGGCTGCTTCTCTGGTCTTTGGAGAAGCCAGGTATGCCCCAGTCTCTCATTACATAAAATGAAGACAAAACTACTACCTTTGCCTACTGCTGCAAGGATGTGGGGGGGGTTTTTTTGGTAAAGATTAATTGATTTGATGTTTGTTAGATGATAACCTATAAGAATAATCAGTAGAGAGCAAGTATCATTAATATTTTGATTAAAAGCCAACATACTATAATTTAATTTTGTAAACTCATGCAGCTTTTCCTGCTTTCTGAAAACATTTGGGAAAGAGCTATTTTACATTTAATTTAATGTATCTTTATAATTTTCAAAATATTAGCAACTTTTTAAAAATTGAGCCTTTCAGATACATGCAGAAGCATTAGGAAAATTACAGGAAACAGCTTCTGCCAAAAAAACCTCCAAAACCCCACACCTTTTTAGTTCTCTTTACTACAGTTACTGATTCCTCCTAGTTTCCCATTCATTTTATGTCTTGGCATCATTTCTTTATCTTTCTTTTGCTCTTTTTCTTCAGTTAATTTCTTTGTTCAAAGCTGTTAATTGGGAAATATGCAGGAATTTTGACAAGGGCAGTATCCATTTTATTTGTGTTTTCCCCTTCAGAAACTGTCAGTTTGAAAGCCTGGTGGTACTTGGGCATTGGACAATTTGTATCTCTTTTTGTAACAAAGAGGATCTAAAATATCTTCAGGATGTATCTTCATCTTGGCTAATGATGTATAGTAATTGTATGTTTTTGTTCATCACAGACAAACTTCCCACAGAATGAAAATCTATAATGAACTTCATTTGCCAAGTTTACATATTCAGTACTTTTCCAAAGAAATAAGACATTTGCAGAAGTACTGGAAGTGAGTGTTAGTGTATTTGGTTAACTTAAAAGACAGACAAAGCATATTTAGAATGAATATAAATAAGATTATAGGCCCTGTCTAAAGATATTTGCTGTCTGGTTTATGGCATTTTGAAAGTACAGTAAATCTAGTACAATATCCAGCCTGCCCAGAAAACTGGGATTATTAGGGTACCTACTAGCCATAGCAGAACAAAGCCAAGTACGAAATAAGCTGAAATCACATTTTATGGTGGCTAGGTGCTTTCTCCACATACAGTTTGTGATTGAGTTTAAGGTTTTAGTTGCCTTGGTTCAGGTAAACGTGTGGTCCAATCATCTGCAGTTCATGCATAGTCATGCCTATTAGCCGTGGCTGCTGCACAGACACATTCATGAATAATTTTATTACACAGATCTTGGTATTTAAGATATTATTTATATCTCAGAAAAAGTTTTTCATGTACTTGGTGGGTTTGCCTGCTAGGAAACTCTTGCTTTTCTCTTCAAAAATACCATCAAACCCACCCCCAAAACTGCCAAAACATCCCTTCTGCCCTCTGCCCACCAAAAAAAATACAGCCCCCAACCCCCCCCCCAGATAATGTGTAATTTCTTAGAGATTACCAGAGTGACATGTTAAGGTTTTTAATGTAGTGACATTTCTATATGTTTGCACAGATGCATTTCTGAGAAAATTACTTATGTGCTTCTAACATACAGAGCAAAGGGGTGATGCGGAGTATTTGGAATTGAATACAGTGTCCTTCATTTGCCCTCAACCTTTAAGCTATATCACTGCACACTTGTAGATGTATGCTGCCTTCCAACTGGAATGTGCTTCAGTGGTTTGTGAGTCTGGTTTTGTATGTTAAGGATAACGTTATTAGACCATTAGTAACTAACTCGCAAATAACGTTATTACTAGTTTTGTATTTTTAGATCGGGCTATACATGTTATATGTGACCTCTCAAATAAAACATGCCACATAAATAGTGAGTATGCAAATAGGTATACGGGGTGTTTTATACAACATAGAACTCGATGCCTTGTCGAGTAGCAGGATGTAAAGGTTTTGTAAGTCTGAGTTTGGGATAGTTGCAGTAGTGTCGTGAATAGTGAAGTATATCGATTTTCATTAAAATGATACAGCATATTGTGTGTGTGTGACAAATAGGGTAGGAAGATAATGAATTATCTTCTAGTAATGGCCTGTTGCACAAAGTACGAACTTTTTTTGCCATCTTCCCTCTCATCGTTTTGCCCAGCTTGTGCACAAGAAATTTGTTGGGGGGGACAGGAGCAAATAGGTGGAAGGGAACTTTTCCCTAGCAGATATTATGTGTGCTCTTTGAAACGAGATCAGAAATTGCTGTTGGGCTTTCTGGTGGTGTTTTTATGAAAAGCAAATTTCTCTCATTTCACAAAGAGAAGTAGAGTCAATGAAAAAGCTGATGGTATTACCTACTTTACAGGAAAGCCTGCAAATCAGGGTGTGGGAGTGGGAAGAAGTATGGTGATCTCAAAGTCACTATTAAATTTTACCTTTACAGAATTATTTTCAAAACCAAAAAGAATATATCCGTTCATTCATGCAGTCTTCAATTCCACACATTAAAAAAAAGTCTCAACCTATTAATTTAATATCTGGACATTAAACCTGATGCACTTGATTTTAACATCTAACCTAAATCAAGATGTGGATGTAGCAAAGGATATTTTTCTTAGGCTCTCATCACAACTCCTTAGCGAATGCTGTGTGCCTTGCCTTCCCAAGCACAGTTCAGTTCAATAGAGAATTATTTCATGTACTCTGAAGAAAAGTATCACATTGTTCTTTATCTGTATTTTTAGGTACTGCTGTAGCACTCATTATCCTAGCTTCGGGATTTTTGCTATCAGCTCAGGTCTCGCCAAGAATCACACTTAATCCACCAGATCCTTCACATCAAAACTCTACCTGCACAAAATACAGGTGAGATTTCATGATCATTCATCCAATCTTCTTGAAGGTTGTTTCCAGTTAACTGAGTTTTACAACCTAGTGTGAGTAAGATACAACTATTCATAAAGCCTAGTACAAGGAACTAACTAGATAACTAAAGTTTAAATCCTAACTTCTCTCAATAGAGAAAATGACACTCTTTGCTTAAATGATCTGACTACTCCTTTGGAATTTCTTGGACTAAGTAAGGTGGTTAAGCAGCAAATTCCACACTTGAGATCTCCTCCGTTATATCTCACCTGCTGCAATTTACAGTAGACATAAAGTTATGAATATTTTAGAAGTAATTTGTAAAAATGCTGTCTGTTTTTCATCTACTCATAGATTTGTCATGTATAACAGCTGTAAACTCTTCAAGAAGATGTGTTCCTTGCCTTTTGTTTTCCTGAGTGGAAAAAAAATAATCTTCAGATAATTACAGACCAATTAACAATTAAAGTAAATGTGATTTTTTTGACCTTTGTTTCTGTAGTGGGTAGAAGATGCACTTTCATGCGCAATCATAGTTTCAAGTAACATTACTTCTAGGGTGTTAGGAATGTGTCATTTTCTATATTTTGGTTTTTTATTCACATGTGAGTGCTGTTATGTTCATTTACCTGGCAGACTAGAAAATTCCCTATTGACTGAAGACTAGTTAAATGGCTGAAGAAATTCTTATGTTCAAAACCTGTTTTACATGTGTTTGCAATAGAGGTAAATATCAAGAAATGAGTGGTATGCTTCTAGTTTCCTAGCAGTATTGGCTAGGAATATGGTTCATGGCTTTTCGTATGCCAACACAATGTCTTGGGTGAAAGATTCTGAGGATTTGAAGCTTTATAGACACCTGGAAAGGGGACAGAAGGTCTTCAAAAGAGTGTAAATAGATGCTAATAACTGGAACTTTAGATACTACCAGATATGAGAATCCCTACATGCAAATACCTATATTTTTAGTTGTTTTCTACTGCAGAATCAACTATATTTTGCAATTTTTGAGATATGCCTATACAGCATTTTCAAATGGCAAGTAATCTGGTTAAAAGGTGCAAAGAGGGAAAGAGCTTCCAAATGCTCTCCTTTCAGAATAAGATAACATTAATAGCAGGATGTCGAAAGGATTTGCATAGGACTTAAGTTAATTACTTAGAAAGGATGTTTGGAGAGCACAGATGCACCATGTGCAAAACTAGTTATTTGTTATGTAGTAAAGATAGACTATTTTATAACCTGAAACAGTATAAAAACTGTGTAGAAGAAATATGGCTAGTCCACCTTAAGAAGTAATGAAAAATTATTTGACACAGTTTTCGTTTTCCAATTAACCACAGCTAGTCAGGAAGGAAATTTAGAGTCGCTGTGGCTTGCTCAGTGTGCACTTCTGGGCAAAAACATGAAAAATTAAAGCAGGTAGTTCTAGTAAAGGCATGTTGTTTCATGAATTATGAGAATATTTTAATCTGTCATAATTTCTGTTTCTGACATGAGGTGAGCAAAAGCAGGTATGACAAGTTCAAAGGGTCTAGAAAAGAGCAATAAAAGAATTGAAATATTTTCATTTGGGAATATTTTGAAATAAGAGAGCTCTCTTAGTTTACAAATAAAAGTGAACACATAGAGGGGCATGTGAAATAATGAGCAGTGTATGAGAAAGCTTTCGTTGCTCCTATTTTAATCTTATACTATACCTTGGTGAAGAGACACAAAAACCAGGAGAGTTGAAACTAACAAATGGATGCAGTTGCCTACAGATCACGGAATTGGGCTACAATACCTGCTATGTAAAAGGATGTAAAAAAATTAGGCATTTATATGATTAATAACTACTTTCACACTTGTGTATCTCAAGCTATATTTGGGATATCAATTTTCATGCTTTAAAACATCACCAAACCCTGACCTTGCTAGAGCTGGAGGAAGAATATTCCTTCAGCATCATGAATATTAGTGTCTGTTATGGAAGGTGATATCAGCCACTGACTCCATAGCAGGAAGCCTCAAAATTCCAGGTGACTTCAGCCAAGGGAGCAGTAAGTGCAAGAAATATTGTTTGCTTTCGGCACGGATCAAGGGAAGAAAAACATCTTAAACATTTTGTCTTTAGTGATGTTTCCAGAGGAGCTTAGTTTCGGTGTGCCTTTCTGCCAAGCTCTTGTAGCTACACATAGAGAAAATACGTTAATTTATTCCTTTGTCTAAATTATTTCTGGACGGGATGACATACAGCCATACATTATATTTGGACTTGGAAAAGTGGCTGTTCAAGATACAGGTATGCCTGCTTTCTGTGCACATGGTCAATAAGCTGAATGAAATTTAAAAAAATGTTTTTGTCATCAGAAAGTAGATGGTGTCTTCACCATTCCGTCCAAGTTAGAAGAACTTCAGCATAACATGCATGGTCTTGGAAGGAAGAGGTGGAGGGGACTGCAAACCAAAGGGAAGCTAAAGGCTGGGCTGTATTTTGGGAGGCTTGCCTCTCTCTCTCTTTTGGCCCTGAAGGCATTCCCCATGGCAGTTATGGAGTTGGGTCAAAGAGATTCTCAAACCTGAGGATTTAGAAGGAAAAGTTTACTTTGCATAATGCCAGTCTTGCATATTTTCTATGCTGCTCTAAGAATAATGGCATTAAAGGAGCTGTACAGATAGCCAGCATGTAGGGTAGCAAACGTTATTATAGGGATAGTTAGATAAGATATCGAATCAAAGTAAAATAAAGTAATCTAATGGCAGTGGTGTCTTGCTGTTAATCCATATTTTAGCTTGCTTCAGTGTAACTGCTGGTATCCCATATTGCTTAGCATTGTACCTTGCAAGCCTTGAAGAGGTCTCAGAAAGTTTTGGAAAAGCAAAAGACAGCAGGACTTCAGAAGATCAACAGGTAATGCCCTCTCTCTCTAGCCACCATAGCCACATTTAAATATGTGTGCCTACACAAATGCAGCGCATAGTCTTCATCTAATGGTGATGCAGTGCTTCTCTGAGGTGAGGTACACTTAGAGCCTAAACCTGTTTGTCGCTTGGCCATCTTAGAGTATGGGGGTGTTTCCTAAATATAACTTGTATTTGTCTTTGCCAAAATGTATTTATAAGTTATAAAAACATAAGTAAAATGTATTTTGCTGACAGAAGTTTCACTGATACTGTGCAGGGTAAAAATGCTTTTTATGTTTGCACATCCATTGGCTTAGAGTAAGTGGGGGTGTTCATTCTGGAAGCCTTAGAGCTACCACAAACGGTCTGTTTGTTGTTCCCACAGATCCATATTCCTCTGCACAGATTAATTCCTGCTGCTAGAATAATAATGAAGATAGAACAAACTAGCAAATAAAGAACACGGTCACTGTCCTGGTTCAGAAAAGCACCTAGGGCTTGAATACTACATTCTGAGAGAGCTGTGCCGTGCAAAGAGAGGTACAGGTTACCTGTACATGCTTGCAGAAAACAAACCTGTAAGATAGGCTGCAAATATCAAGTAAAATATTTTCATTTGGTGTAGACATGTATAATATCATAGTTGACTAACAGCCAAAAAATAATCTGTAAATCAGTGAAAAAAATTGAATGTAATCCTCATTCACAAGGACATCATGGAAATAACGCAAACCCAGCAGGACACCCTGAACACTGAAATTCTCTTTGCCTCCTCACAGGTGGAAGTGGGTGGGTGTCTTATTGAGGAAAGGCAAGATGAATGCTCATCTGTGTGCCATCCTTAAATTAAACTTCATTTTTACACTCAACCTGTGTAAGCTTGTATAAATGTTTGCAGTGTGACCAGTTCTCTTCTTCAATCTTAATCTCTTCAGCAGCTGTGATCTGTTACTTACCATCAAGGCTGCAGAGAAGCTCAGAGGTAAATTTAAGAGTACAAAACAGCATTGTCCCAAAATTTGTCATCTTAAAAATTAAAAGATAAGCTAGCCATTCCTATTATTATTCTGACTACTCAAAACTCTCTAAACATGTTCCCTTTTTTGCTGGGGACTTGCCTCGTTCTGGAAGGAGGTCAAGGTTAGGGCATGTGCAGTAGTTACCCTACTGCCTTTTCCCAGTCTTTAAAGAATCAAAGGTGTGACCGTCCCACTCTACCTTCCTCTGGGACATTCACCTATTTCTGGAAAACCACCATTGTCCTGTTGCCTTGTGTTCTTGGTCTTTTTGTCTCCTTTCCTTCATGTGTCTGTTACTGCACTTCTTGAGACTTGGTCGGCTGTAGAAGACATAATGTGAACTTGTTATCCTTAAGCAATATTTTTCACCTCAGCTACTATATGAAAATGGTAACTTTTATGTTGATCTTAGGTTAACCCTGAGGCTTGTATTCTAGGGAAATGGTACCTGTGCACAAGAACTTTCTCAGGATCCTTCCCAAACTGATTGTCCTCAGAGTTTGATTAAAATAATACAGGCAGTGCCAGCTGTGCTGGGCACACAACGGCTCTGTTGTTCATCTTCGAATTAGTCACCCTCACATGGTTAATGTTCCTAAGCTCGTTGTACAAATACACACCACTGAGATGAAGGCACCAATATTTAGTACTCTTACACAGCATTTTTACAAGATAGCTAATAGGCAGAAATACATATTTTCTTTATGAATTTAGCAAAAGTATATCATTGTGATCAGTCGTGAAAAATGCAGCTAACCTAGTAACTGAAGCTGGTTTTATTGTATTTAATAGCCTTAGGATAAACATAGTAAGTATATTAGCTATTGTACTTTATTTTGTTGAGTTAACTCATTGACAATCTGATTTATCTGCAAGCTAGACATCAGTATTCTTCATACTGTCACTGTATCATAGAACCAGCATTTTTTAAAATATGATTCTCATTTTATGTTTCTAATGTCAGTGACTGAGGTACTGGTCATTCTGATAAATGAGAATTGCAATAATAAATATAGCAATGGTTTTCTGCTATTAAGGTCAGAAGATTATGAGTATTCAAAGAGATAAACATGTTTGAGAATGCTTTTGCCAGCT